GACCACAGGGATAAATGTCACTCGGCACACCTCGGCCGGTTTGTACCACATCAAACAGGTTTGATATGAAAATGAAGGAATCAACTGAGGTTCAAAAAATGTCGAGTATCTTTATTTCTATTAATGTTTAGATAAATATCTGCATTAGTTAATGTTAAGGGCCAATGGCCTCTTTTTTGTTTTTTTAACTAGATATGCCGGAACATAAATCGTATTAAGCTGTGCATGGAAGCTGGAAAAACTGTTATATTGCTGAATCTTGAGAATCTCTACGAAAGTTTATATGATGTCTTAAACCAGGTAAATTATTTTCGTAGAACCAAAATGTGAAATTGTTCCTTAAAACAGTCATAAGTATTTACTAATAAACCTGATTTTAAACAAAAGTCATTATTTCATTTCATTTATGATAATTAAAAAGTAGCTGTGTTTTTAAGAAACATATCACCAAATTGTTGTTTGAAATAACGATAGCGATTGTCTTGATACTATTTCAACAAAAGATTGGACACTTTATTGACCATCTGAAATTTTTGATATAATCAGAGAACAAAGTAATCACTTTAAACCAGAATATAAAATTTATTTTATGGTTTTAACTATAAAAAATATATGTTCTTGATATGTATATGTTTGCTAATGGTAACGTCCAACTTTATGAAGTAGGCATCAAAGGCATGTTGGAGAATGACTCAAGATTGCCACTTTTCCTAGTATTAAGAATAAAAGTAAAATTTGTGAGAGTGCAAAGATGTGTCAATCAAAGCCATCCTAAAATTTGAAGTTTCAATAACCTTAAGATGAAATGAAATTTTAAAAATTTTGTGGGAAAATGCTATTAAAATATATAAGTTGTGATATTATACAGAGAATATTAACTTCAAATCTGTGTCCATGCACCTTTAAAGGTAGGGGACTAGTATTGCTAATGCAATACTCTCAGATTGCTTATTCATTTAGTTTATTTTCAAGGTGCATTTTTCTATCAAAACTTTTTATGGGAATTAATATTTTGTTGGATTCATGTTACGCAAAGATCCTTGAATTTATGTCGGTGAAATTAATTTTGAAAATGGAAACAATATTATTAAATACTTAGCCACAAAACTTGTCCTTACGAACCATTTTTTGGATTCACAGAAAAAATTATCCTGAAATGAGTGATATAGCATTTTGATTTACCATGTTTTTTTCAGTATTATGTATCTTTTGGTGGAGAAAGATATGTTGACCTCGGTCTAGGAACACATCGCATTAAAGTAAAGGTCCACAAGCAATTCGGGTAATTATGTCTTTGTAACGATCATAATTGGCAACATTCATCAATTTGATATTTATCAGTGCATCAATCAAGCTGTCTATAAACATTGCGTGCACCGGTAGTATGTATAACTATTTCTTGATCATTTTCTTGGTACATTTTGAATGTACATATCATTTGAAAAGACGAACGTATCTTAAATTAAGATCTACATAATCGCCTAAGGCAAATTTTAATGGAAATGTATATACAAGAGTGTTTATTTAGTTCAGTACGACATAATTTTCTATAATCAAAATAGCAATACCTTTTCAATTGATTAAGTTTGGTTTTCCGAGTTTTAAGCCCAAACCTTTACTGATACGTTAACATACTGTATTAAATTGTTTTTCAAATAAAATAAATATATCACACATTTTTTCCAAAAACATGTTCTCATCTAATTCTGGCTTGCTTTTAGTCATTTAAATGATCGGGTCTCTTAAATTTTGTACACAGGGTGATCGTCATTGCAAAGAAGCAGACAGTGTACAACACCTTTCCGGTTCCACTGATAAACCGCCTGGAGAAGCATTTTCTACGTATCGATACCTTGTTGACAAAAGAGGACTTGCAACATGCAAATATGTTACAGAAATGGATGCAAAAATTTTCTGAATTAATGTAAGTAATAAATGCTCTAGCTCACCTGAGCCAATAGCTCAACTTAGCTTTTCTGATCACTTTTAAAAGTGCGACATTTAACTTCGGACAAGGCATTGTCCAGAACTTTTACAACAATGTCTAGTTGTGATGTCCAAAAGTTAATTGCAACACTTGGAGGGATTTCTTGTCAGTATCATCACGTGTTGAAATCACACACACCTTATCTTTTCAGAGATATGAAGTCATGAAAATCATAATCCTATCGGAGAATTGGGGACTTTTAGTCCTGACAATTATTCACCTTTCTTTCACTGGGGAAAAGTATTTGATGGGATAAAACCCACGGATATCGACATTGAGTCATTTTCTCCCATACGTTGTTAAACATTGTAATATCTCATTGATTATGAGGAGTGAAATATCATTATCACAATCTTTGGGATATATCCAATGTTTGATAATGTATGGGAGTATATGTCTAAAAAGGACAATTTATCTGATATATTAAAGTAGTACTAGTTGAGAGAATCAAATTTAGGGTCAGCATGAACGGTGAGAAGGCATTTTCTGCAAAAACGTGTTCTAATTATAACTTAAATACACACATGGGTTTTTTCCGAAATCGTTTATAACATTTTTCAGCTCTGGATATATCAAAAAGCAACGGATTTACGAACTCAATATTGGAAATCAGATTGAATGTTAATACAGAATGCATGTGTTAAAAATATTTTTGAAATAGAAGGAGGCTTTTTCTATTCGAATAAGTCAACAGGGTGAACAAAAACTCCACCTTTACATACTTAATTATGATTAGTGTCGCTTTTCTTGTTCAAGTTCACATTTACATTACAGGCTAGGTAGCCTGTCAGATTTAGTTTAAAGGAGAATGAACAGATTTTTAAGTCTCAATTGTAATACGAACGTCTTTTAGAGGAATGATCGGCATGGGATGAAAAGTCTTGAAATAACTTTGTAGAAATTTCTTTTTACTTTAATTAACATAACTTAATATATTTTCAATGAATTTTTAAATACATATATTTCATCTAATATTCATTATTTAACAAAGTTTGATATGTTATGGATAGCCCGTTTAAAATGTTTTATAACATAATAAATTGGAATACAAAACCAAATTGTATTCAATTGTTGTTACAATGAGGTGCATGTCTTTTAGGAGAAATGTATTATAAAGATGAACTATTGGTTTGTGAGGATTTGATTTCGTGGTTGGAAATTTTTTTAGTAGTAATGCTTATGAAATTTTACATTTCGTGGTAATTATAAATTAATGGGTCTGTCCATACCTCGAAAACAACGAAAATTAGTAATTTCACAGTAGGTACAATTGATTTAAAAACAGGTAGAAAAGCAATGAATTGAAGATAACGTAATTGATTTAAAGATAGGTACAATTAAAATGAACATATTTTTAATTATTAGGATATTGGCAATAATATCTACCTTTATCATACGTAATTTCCGAAACGTCACAGCTAGCGAGAAAGTTTATCGGAATATTCATCGGCTGCCATACAAGATATATATACAATGCACATGCTATAAATGTGTATTTTAATAAGTATATGATGCTTTTTGCATATTTTGAATTTGCCTTTATTTCTCCTGAAATCCTCGTTGTTGTCGCTCTGTAGATTCTGTGCGTTTCCATCCATGTTCATTATTGTCTCCAAGGGAGCGTTCATTTTTTTTCAACAACACAAAATGAATTGAACCAAGGTATAATTGAATTGTACCTATCTTCAAATCCTTTATGATATGTGTTAATAGAACCTATCATCAAATCAATTGTACCTATCTTTAAATCAATTATACCTATCTTTAAATCAATTATACCTATCTTCAAGTGAATAAGAGATACGTACATGTATAATTCAACTGAATCTGTCTTTAATTGAATTGAAGATAGGTGTAATTAAATTGAAGATAGGTGTAATTCCATTAACGATAGGATAGGTATAATTCATTTGTACCTAGGTATAATTCCTTAGAGATAGGTATAATTATTAATACCTATCTTCAATTCAGTTGTACCTATCTTTAATTCAATTGTACATATCTTCAATTCATTTGAAGATAGGAACAATAATTTGAATATATGTTAATTTGGCATTCCATATAATTAGCATTTGTCTTGTCGAAGAACAAAAAGAGATAAATCTATAAATGAAGTATAGCTCTGTGAACATGAAGGTATAGAATGAATTGGAAGACCGTAGGTAAGAAGCTAATGACACATTTAACGTTTGTACATGTAATTGTTTTTGGTTTGTTAAGAGTACAGAAAAAAGGAAGAGGACCAACCATAAATGATGCATTTGTCGGTTACCATAATGACGTGACAGCTATTATTATCATCAAGGTTATGAACGCAGCAGAAACCCAAAAAGAAGAGGTCGATAAGGTGAGGTTTAACTTGAAAGACCAGACAGTGTCATCCTAAATGTGCCTTATAATTTGTTTCTTATGTATTCTGTTAAATAAGAAAATAATGTTAAAAACTTTAATATGAAAACCTATAATGTCTTTGAATGGCAATAAATTTTTACGTATGGCACATTTAGATAAAGAGAAAAATTTGTAAGTTTTATGATCCTTCCTAGGGCCCGAGGACTGTATCGACCATAAAACTGATTAAATGATGATTTTAAACGAAACTGCTGATAATTTTGTTTCATTAACTTGTTTGTCAAAAATTTACCTCGTTTTAGATATTGTACATACACAGAGCATGCTCTTGCGTATTGAGGTGATGAAGGTATAAATGTATTGCTACATAAATAAGGGAATAAGACGAAACTTAAGACTGTTCATTTTTAAGGTTTTCTATGAATTTTCTTTACGTTTGACACGCACGATATGATGGGAGACATTTTATAATCACTGGAAATTCGCCAGCTTCTTTTCCTTCTCCGTTTAATAAACAGGGATGGATTTATGAATACTCTTCTAAAAATTGTAAACAAATTGTTTCAGCTTATGAAGAAATGCAAGGAACTTCTTATTTTGTCTGCAAGCCCTGATGCGATTTACCGACTAGAAAAGACTTCTCTGAAGACAGAAGTGGAAATATGGAAGGATGTTTACTTTCAAGAGCAAAATCATGGAGGAATTGTGACATATCTTAAAAACAGGGGTCAGATATCTGAAAAATCACTCATACAGGTACGATCATTTTGTTTGAATTAACTCATGATCAATCATTTAAACTTTCCTGTCTGCGATGTGATGTTGAAACGATTTCTCATTTGTCATGGCCATTAAGCAGACATACAATATTATAATAAATCATGATAACACTGTAAACTCGAATATTTTTGTGGGAACAAACTTATGGTTATAAGAAAAAAAGATGGTACGGCGGAATTTCAATTATGGCTGATGTGTGGTTAGCTCGTATGCATATAAAGTTTGATCTTTCGAGTGGAAGTGACGGTACACTGTATATATTTTTGTTCTTTACGTGTCGGCGACAATATTTACCTACCCATACTTCACATATCAGTACATATAGTCGCGCTCTGAGATGTTATATAAAATTTTTAAAAATCTTTTTTTTTAATTGCGTATGAGGTACACTAACTAATATATACTGATAATAGCCACATTTTGAATAGCTAGAGTGTCATCTAATGATACTGCCGAGCTCTGAGTGACGGTGTCCATTGTCTCCCCGAAAATAAGAGAATAACTTTGAGAGACTAGATTAATTGTATCACTAGATGGTTGTAGTGTCATTCCTATTTATATACATCTATCTATATACACACAAATTAGCAGGTATACAAAGCTGTGTCCATATGTAGCCAGCATGTACAAGTCAGAGAACACTTCTCATAAAAGCACATTGAGACACCAGAAAATTTACAAACTAACCGAAATGTCCATTCTATCCAGAATTAAGATCAACAAGGCAACGTAAATACAATATATATTCACATATATCAGTTTTCGGTTAAAAACTTACTGCAAACCATTCTTTTCCCACTAATTAATGGAGCTAGTTTTTAACCCGCTCTCCATTCTATTCGACCGAACCCGATCTCATCAAAACACACCAAGCCTTTGGGTTATGTAACAATTAAACAGTGCATTGTTTGGAGAAGTGCTCCAAATTACAAGTCCTTTTCTTCTGACTGGACTTATAAAACATTGAGCTGGTCAACCTTGACTATGAAAAAGCTATTGACCAAAGAAGACATACATGCATTCTCTGCTTAGCAGAGCAAAATGCACATAAGTTGCAAGTTTGTTCAAATCATGACCCTCAGGGGTTGGGTGGGGCCAAAATGGCCGATCAAAACTTTACATAGGAATATATAGGAAGAATCTTTAAAGATCTTCTTCTCAAGAACCACTGGGCCAGGAAAGATGAAACTCATGTGGAATCATCCTCAGGTAGTGTAGATTCAAGTTTGTTCAAATCATGACTCCCGGGTCTAGGGTGGGGCCAAAATGGCAGACCAAAGTTTTACATAGGAATATATAGGGAAACCTTTCAAAATCTTCTTTTCAAGTACTTCAAAGCCATGATTAGTGATATTTATTTGGAATCATCCTCACGTAGTGTAGATTGTAGTTTGTTCAAATCATGACCCCATGGGGGGTTAAAATTCAAGCTCCCCCCCCCCCACCTCAGTAAACTACCAGGTCTGATCTGATATGTGCTTTTTCCTAACCGATGTGCTCAGGTAAGCGCTGTGGCCCCTGGGCCTCTTGTTGTATTATAAAATAAAAATATGTTTTAAGTAAAGTACCACAATTACATTAATAGTTACACAAAAGTGCTTATTTTACACGTTTTATATTACTGACAATTTGAAAGTTTGAACTTCCTTTGATGGTAAGTTATTGACAGTGTAATATATACAAGTATTTGAATTAAATTTGAATTATCATTTATCATGTTTAGTGTTGAAGGTGGTGGATGCCTGTTTATGGAAAAAATTGTTTTGTATTTCTGTTTTAAAAAAACAAAAGAAATGGTAATGGCAAAGCATTACTGTACTAAAGTAATGGTAATGTGATGCATTACTCTAAGAAAATAGGGTACATACTGGTAATGGTTATATAATGCCCAAATTGTTGAAGTAATGGTTATGTACTGTATTACTTTACAATGTAATTCGCCCCAAGCCTGGTCTCTTGTAAAACGACTTAAAGGCAATATAAAACCATTTATTCCTCCGTAATTCAGAAGTGTAAATAGATCAATAAAATATATGTAGATAATGAACAGTATTAAAGCTGAAATTTTGAAGCAGACAAAACACAGACATCTAAAACATCAGAGATGGATTTAGTTAGAATGGAGGATTAAAGGTACTTGGACACAGATTTGAAGTTATTATTTTCTCTATAATATTACGACTTATATATTTTAATAGCATTTCACACAAAAATTAATTAAAAATCTTATTTCGTTTAAAAGATACTGAAATTTCAAATTTTTCGGCGGGTTTGATTGACATATCCTTGCACTCTCACAAATTTAATTTTATTCTTAATCCTTAGGAAAAGTGGCAATCTCGTTTTGTATAAATGAAAAATATTAATACTATAATCCAGAAAATTCAGAGTAGACACGTTCGAAAGCAAAACAAACACACAATATAATGTCAGTCCGTGTAGTTGTGGTAAGCAGACTGTGACGATTGAACGCACGCGGTGAATTCTAAATATAAACAATAACAGAGCTCGAGCCCTGTTTACAAAAACTGTGTACATAACACGAGTGTGCTCGATTTGCTAAACTCTGTACGCATCTCTTAGTACGGAATGACGAGACTTGTGAAGGTTTTTGCTTTCTAACATTTCTACTCTGAATAAAATTATTTTTCTTGATAAAAGTTTTAATATTTCTCATTAAAACACATCAAAATTGCCACTTTTCCTAAGGATTAAGAATAAAGTTAAAATTTATGAAAGTGCAAGGATGTGTCAATCAACCCCACCAAAAAATTTAAAGTTTTAATAACTTTTAAATGAAATAAGATTTTTAATTAATTTTTGTGTGAAATGCTATTAAAATATATAATTCGTGATATTATACAGAAAAAATGAGAAAATATTAACTTCAAATCTGTGTCCAAGTACCTTTAAGGATATGGAAGTAACAAACAACATTCAATTCACGGACCTTCAAAACATCAGAGGTGGGATCAGGTGCCATGGAGAAATGAGCATCCCCTGCCGATCGGTCACACCCGCCGTGTACTCCTTGTCATGATCGGGAAATAACGGGAAAGTTCGTCGACAATTCAGTGTATAAATAATGGACTAACATTAAGTATGAGAAACGTCAGTCAGCATTTGACTCAATGTTAAATTGTATTTGCTGACAAGGTCATTGTATTAACTATAGAACGTACAAAATGATGACTTTAGACGAGACTTTTTAGCTCACCTGAGCCGAAGGCTCAAGTGAGCTTTTCTGATCACATTTTGTCCGTCGTCCGTCCGTCTGTCCAGCCGTCCGTCTGTCCGTCTGTCCGTCTGTAAACTTTTCACATTTTCGACTTCTTCTCAAGAACCACTGGGCCAATTTTGACCAAACTTGGTACAAAGCATCCTTTGGTAAAGGGAAATTTAAATTGTTAAAATTAAGGGACATATCCCCTCGCAAGGGGAGATAATCAAGAAAAGGCAAAAATAGGGTTGGGTCATTAAAAAATCTTCTTCTCAAGAACCACTGGGCCAGTAAAGCTGAATCTTATGTGGAAGCATCTTGGGGTAGTGTAGATTCTAAATTGTTCAAATCATGACCCCCGGGGGAAGGGCGGGGCCACAATGGGGAATCAAAGTTTTACATAGAAATATATAGGAAAAATCTTTGAAAATCTTCTTCTTAAGAACCACTGGGCCAGAAAAGCTGAAACTTATGTGGAAGCATCCTGGTATAATGTAGATTCTAAATTGTTCAAATCATGACCCCCGGGGGAAGGGCGGGGCCACAATGGGGAATCAAAGTTTTACATAGAAATATATAGGAAAAATCTTTGAAAATCTTCTTCTCAAGAACCACTGGGCCAGAAAAGCTGAAACTTATGTGGAAGCATCCTGGTATAATGTAGATTCTAAATTGTTCAAATAATGACCCCCGGGGGAAGGGCGGGGCCACAATGGGGAATCAAAGTTTTATATAGAAATATATAGGAAAAATCTTTAAAAATCTTCTTCTCAAGAACCACTGGGCCAGAAAAGCTGAAACTTATGTGGAAGCATCCTGGTATAATGTAGATTCTAAATTGTTCAAATAATGACCCCCGGGGGAAGGGCGGGGCCACAATGGGGAATCAAAGTTTTACATAGAAATATATAGGAAAAATCTTTGAAAATCTTCTTCTTAAGAACCACTGGGCCAGAAAAAGTGAAGCTTATGTGGAATCATTCTGGGGTAGTGTAAATTCTAAATTGTAGGATTCATGACCCCTAGGGGAAGGGCGGGGCCATTATAGTTAATCAAAGTCTCACATAGAAATATATAGGAAAAATCTTTGAAAATCTTCTTCTCAGGAACCACTGGGCCAAAAAAGCTGAAACATATGTGCCCATGGAAGGATCATGGGGTAGTGTAGATTTCAAAATGTCTAAATTATGATCAGTGGGGTAGGGTGGGGATGCATTATGTATAACAAGGGGGAAATCTGGTAAAGAACAGAATGGTCAACGCTTCTCAGGTGAGCGATGTGGCCCATGGGCCTCTTGTTATATTTTTGTTTCATCAACTTTTCTGTTCATACATAGAGCATGCTCTTGTGTAGCGAATCAACTGAGATATATAAACTCCGTTTGCAGGTGATGAAGGTATATTGCTGCATAAGTAAGGAAAGTTGACTATAGAAGAGTCATAACGTTTATCATAGAGCTTGGTTGTTAGATTACCATTAACGTCTTTTTCAAGTACAATGTCCAAATATGAAACAGATGTGTCAGACTCTGTGGTATCTTTTATCTCAAACTCACAAGGATATATCGTATCGACATAGGAATGGAAATTACCAATGCAATGTTAATTGGCAAATACGTCATCCTTATATTTAAACGTCGAGTTGATGGCCACAGCAAGTGTTTCTTCTTGTCACGCATAAGATTTTGCACAAATTTTACTTCATATGAATACAAAAATAGGTCTGATAATAACGGAGCGAATTTGGTACCCATGGGAATTCCAATAGATTAATGGGAGACCTGGTCTCCTTAAACTACATAGATATTGTCAATCAGAAACTCAAGTATTTTTTATATCAACTTCAGAGTACTTGTGTGTGCTATCACAATGTGTTTTAACAAAATAATTTTGCAAATGACATCCCCTGCCGACCGATCACACCTGCCGTGTGTTCCTTGTTATGATTTGGAAATAACGGAAAAATCCGTCGATGTACTAGTATGTATTGGTAACATGTACTGGTACCAGACGATAAAGCAAGTAACATGGTGTTTCTTTGTTAGGCTCTTCACCCCTACTGATGTGTTCGGAACCTTTTATTTTTCGGTGTTCTCCAAATTATAAAACCCGATGAGTTCAGAGTACCTCTGACAGTGGCTCTGGTGAGAGTTAGCGAGACTTCAGCGAGATAGGGTAAATTATTCACGGAAATGTGGCTAGGAAGTGACTAGCACGTGGAGACATGGTCAAAAGAAAAGTTATGTTGCGTTTTAGTTTTCACCACCCTATAATATCATTATGTAGAAAATTAATGTACTTCAATCGATCTGTCTTGAATTCATTCAAGTTTAAATTATTTTTAAGTATTCTCTATGACACAATTTTCTGCTGTCATGAATTTAAATTTCTTTTTGGACAAATATTTTGCATGGAAACCGGGACTATATTTTTTGGCGTCAGATTAGCAAATGAGACATCAATGTGACTTTAACTGACAAATCATATAAATGATACTATACGAATACTACAGGAATTTTACGCTTGATAAATTCCTTTATTGTACTATCGGTGAATACAATTGCCAGGTGGATTCCCTGGCCAACACACCTGATCACGAGTATAGTTATGTAAAAAATGTTTTGTCCATTTAAATGCATACGAGAAGCTGCTCGTTTTCCGTACCCTTGAAATGCTGGTGTTCTGAACTTGACACTAACTACGTATACATTTTATTAAACATATTTTTCTCTAGTTAACAACAAATTAAAAACGCTCGTGATATTTTCAATAGTTTCTTTTGTTTGCATTTGTTCATAAGAACTTTTTTCTTATTTTGCACTCCATTGACATAATCATAGATTGACCTGAACCACGTGTTCGAAGTAACATGTAAACATGTATTTAGCGTAAACGTATTCAATCAACAATTGGTCAGTTGCTCGTGGTAAGATCCTCTGTGCGCATTAATAGCAATAGCCATATAAGGCAAACAAAGGTTTGTCAGTGTAAATGATGTTACACATTTCTTTACCAGCGTATCGGTCGCTAGTGAGCTGTAATTTTTGCAGTTAACTATAAGATGTATTAATTGGTATTTAATCCCCCCCGCCCCTCACCCCCCTTAAGCCACCCATTTTTGTTGAAAATCATGAAAGTCTTTCAGAAAGGTGTGGAAACACAATTTTCACAGGTCATGTTTTCAGAAGAAACAGACTATAGCAATTTCCTGTTTACTGCCAATTTTATTTATAAAACCGGATCTACCCTATAACCTTTGAATAGATTAACCTAAACCACGTGTCTTGAATTTAAATCACAATAACATTAGTAGGGGTGCTCTTGATTACAATGATTCTACAAATGTTACTTGTCCATGGCACATAACCCTAACTCGTAATGTAGAGGTCCGTATTTTTTCTGTTCATAATTGTTTAATTGGACATTAAGCAGGGTTACTGTTCTTTATATTATCCCCATATTCCATTCAGTATTTATATATAGTTCCAAGTCCTTATAATATTTGAAGTTCTATTATATTGTCCATAACAGGAATTTTCAAGCACGGACATGTGTCTTTTAAGATATTTTAGATAATGAATTGAGTTTCAAATTAAGCAAATTTTTATAGCACACTGCATTTTGATGGGGAATTTTCGTAAAAGACAACTTGAACAACAAACAATGGTATTTTTTGGAGAATATATCAATTTCGTATTTTTTATTTATTATTTTGAGGCCCACCCCAGTCAAAAAAAATCCAATCCCAGAAATTTCTTTAAAAAAAACAAAAAAAACCCCCTAAACTCGACCAAATCAAAAACCTATTTCGGGGGGGGGGGGGGTAGTGGTGACTTCTATTGCCTCAAATCTTTCACTTTTCATACCCATTTCACACAAAATCGTGTTTACCAGGGGGATTCAGCGTTTTCAAAGGGGGGTCCATGATAACTTTTTTCTTGCTTTAGTATATACATTTTTAACCTTGTAAACCCCAGATTGGGGGAGGGGGTCCTGACCCCCCCCCCGACACCCCCTCTAGATCCGTGCATGTAAAATGTCGATTTTTGAAATTTGTCATAAATCTTGTGTTTTAAATACAGATAACCACATTCTCAAATCTGTTAGCTGACGCCGACAAGGATGACATTAGTAGAGCCCTCGACATGACAGTCAATTTAACTCACTTGAGATCTTTTGACACAGAAAGAGAGTTCTGCAAATATTTCGGGTATGATATAATCATGTTTTTAATTTGTTGTGTACTTCATGATTTCAATCTTGTTCTGCCTATCGTTTACATGAAGATACCTTGTTTTTACACATAAAATAATAATTTTTGTTTTTAGATCTTGCATGGTTGATAAGAGCCTGTTCATCATACAGTGTGATGCATCATCAGAAACGGCTGCGATGATAGAGTGTGTTCGACATAGAATACAAGACGATTTAATGGATAAAAAAATTTCCATAGTTGTACTTTTAATCCTTCATCTTGTCCGAAGCGATGGAGAAAAATATGCAGAGTACCAGGTAAATAAATGAAAAAAGGAATCAATTAGTGATCATTTAACTTGCATTTATTTTTAAATTTATTTGTGGTTATACTTTTATCTTGCACACTATTTTTTCTTTTAGATAATGCTGATAAAGATGTTTACAAAGTCACATTTTATTATCATTCATATCTTTGATAGGCTGGGAAATGGCAAACTTTACATCTGGACGATCTACGAGAAAATATGAAAATGGATCGCAGAATAGAACATCTTTCAAAACTTTCACTAGGCAGTTACCTGGATAAATGCTGTCATTCAGGAAAGGATGGAGAATACGAAAGTGACTTTACCTCACTTGTAATGAACTGTATGCATTCTGCAGTTTCAAAAATTGAATTTCCGGAAGGTCTACAGTCAAGACCATTAACAATAATACACACATTATTGAGAACGTTGGGTGGTAGGTTGAAATACTTGCTTACTTTTAAAAACTATCAAGTCATTTACAAAGGAACAATTTATTCTCTATTTCTCTCTTTTCTCTTTTTGCAGATTCAAAGTCATTAATTTTAGGATTCGCGGAGCAGATTATCCATGTTCAAAAGTTGAAAGAGTCTGTAATTGGAGACTTGCATCGTATTACCTCAAATGGTGCTGAAATTGAAAATGTACAACGCTCTGGGACTTTCAGGTTTTTTATTGCTTTTATAAAGTTAACGGATATAGTTTTCGATAGGCCTGAGTTTAGCAAGTCTTTTAGCTACTTCCCGTTGGCCGCCATATTGGAGGTCGACTCGATGATTTTTCCTCTTTGACTTACCAAGTTTAAGATGATGTAGTAGAAATATTTGGTGGGAAATCTTTATCAAATATTTTTTTTTAAATAAAGGAGGCTTCCATGAATATATATACTTCAGAAAAATAATGATTCCTAATTCGAAATAGCAAATATAAATTTTTTTTGATTGGTTGAACAATGAAGGAATATGAGCTTTTGGACATCCAATATAGTGGCCAACGGGAAACAACTCTTGCTCCTAATGCTTTGGTTCTTTTTATTTTATAAAACACTTGATTAGAGAATTGCATACAGACTTTGTTATATAACAAAAATAGTGGGTACTAGTAACAAAACATAAAAAAGCTACACTTATTATAAGCCAATGATTGATACAAACAAAACAAGAAAATGAAACAGTTCCAGTACCCGAAAAAAATAGATGTTTAAAAAAAAAGTCATAAAAAATAAAATTAATACAAAATATCTGGAAAAAAATAGGGTCAGGTCAGGTTTCAATTGGTCTGTAGGCAACTGCATACAAACAAATTTACATTTTAGGGCTCAATAATTTTTGAAAATCATGCTCACGAAAGAAAGGATAGAGAAGATTGGGATGTTTTCTGTTGACATTTTTTTAAAACGATGAAACATACTTTATTGAAACCTTTTTAGGCAAAAGAAATAATTTGTTTTTGGTTTCAGAGAATCTGTAGCAAAGTGTCTGGAGAATAAAGTGGCTCAAACTTTGGCAGCGGTTTTGTCTATTGTTGACACTAATAGCAATATGGATCTACTGGGAAAATATCACAGTATGAATAATTGGCAGTTTTGTCTTTGGTGTTATCTGATGAATAGTCCAAACTGTCTAGAATGGAACAGTAAAATGCTTCTAAACGAAAATATGACGGAGGTAGATGTCTTTAAGAGAGATGAAGGGAACCGAAGTGAAAACATGTTTTCGCCAGAATTTCCGTTCTCATGGTTATATTTTAAAGCCATCGACAATATATTCAATGAATCAAGAAAAACACAGAACATAGGTAATATAACTTATTTATTAGTTTGCTGCATAAAATAAGTCTTTAATTCATGAAAAAATTATTTTGGATATAATGACTTTATTTCCTTTTATCAAAGGTGATCCTGTCGAACATACAGCTCACGTCTTTAGAACAAATTCACTAGCATTGTTACTTCAGAAGAGTGTATCTGGTAGTACAGACGAAGTAACCTCGGCTTATCTACACGACTTTGTTTTCCTGAAATTCATTTGTAGGGATGAAGAGTCCTGTGCAGTAAGTCTTATATTCAGCATTTTTTTTCCGTCAAATATTCAGTCCGTTATGTCTCTATTGTTAAAATACTTAAATAATGTTCCTTTAATTTATAACAGATTTATATGTAAAGAGAAATGATAAAATGATGTTTATAAAAGGATTTTCTCATATTTCTTGTAAATGAGATTAAAAGTTTTTAAAAAAAGCAGAGAAAAGGAAAAGAATATTACCAGGTTATAGTATAATTTAGTATGACTTTAATTAAAATTGAATTTTTTTTCATAAAAGACGCAAGGTCAGCTAAGATCGTTATGTTTTTTATCAACACGAAGGATGGAAAAGTTGATGTTGCCTATCATGCTATGCCCACTTATTTTTTTAAAATGTTATTTGATCACACTTTTTCATTGGAAGATAATTTTTTCACATACTAGAATGCAGTGTTCTCCATGGGCTGTTGACGTGATCACAGTTAAATTCCTTAGCGCCACAGTTTAACAATTAGCGCTGTAGTTCCGCCATTGCTTAGATATTAGTGCCACACTAAGAATTGATTTTATATCCCCAGTGATCAAAGTTTTGGGGGGATATACATGTAGGTTTTGTCCTGTACGTCCGTCTGCCTAGCTGTTTATTTATCAGCAAAATCTTCAACCTTTGCCATGACTTCGGATAAATAGTTGGTACAATGGCTTTCATCCTTCACATGTGTATTCCTTGACAAGAATGCACTCTAGATACCAAACCTTCTGGCCCATTCACATTAACCTTGGACCTTGGAGTTTTACTTTGGAAAACTTTAACCTTGGCCGGACAAATTTCAATCTTATAATTATGTATTCCTAGCGACAAGACTAAACTCTGGATATATACTAACATTTTTGTCCCATTAAACTTCTTCTCGGACTTTGACGTACTCTTAAAAGGTTTTATCTTGCCATTATTTTTAGATTAATAGTGCTAAGGCTTTCATATCTCATATGTGTATTCTTTGTGGCAATGCCTTTTCTTGGGAACCATTATTCTTTACCATTTCATCCTGATCTGGACATTTGACTTATGTTTGAAATACTCTTCTCCATATCTTTTCAATGGTTTACGCAGAAGTTTTAATATTTTACAGATATATTCCTCGAGACAAGACCTTACTTATGGTACAACATTTTTTTATCTATTGACCAGGAGTTTAATTAACTTGTATATGAGAAATTTCAACCTTTACTATAAGCTGCCGTACGGGTGTATCAATGTTTCACAAACACATCCCGTTTTTTCACTAAAATATTTCTAAAGATTGAAAGCTTACACCGATTTATATGTTCGTAGTTGAAATGTTTGGAAAATCTTGTATATAGTATAAACGTCCTAAGCGAAGTACCATTAACGGACGATTTTGCTTCGAAATAAACTTAATTCGTTATGTCCCTTAAGTTAACAATATATTTCAGGACCATGGGTATTTAGGATATTTTTGCTGTAAGCGTGAAAAACTTTAATTATAACAAATTATCTTTGATAGTTCATAAAACATTAAAATGTACTTTTCTTAAAATCTCTACAACTTGGGAAAATTGAAATTATTTGCCTATATGAAGTAGCATACACCACTATAAAAGACAAAAAGAATATTTTTCATAGAATTACACAATTTTTCGGTATGAGTTGGTCTTTGCTTCATTTATTTGAAAGTTCATACGTAGAGTTTGCGAAAAATTATACATTTATTTAACAGACACGTGAAGCAAAGGTCCACTATATCTTAAAAATACACTTTAATGACACAACATTCACATCTTTCCGAGAAATACTTTTAATCATTTAATCAAGGGTCATATCACATCCGAGATTAAAGGGTCTCTATTTATCAGGATTTGTTTAGCGTATTGGTAAGGGTGTTGGTCTCGTAATTCATATTCTGTAATTATTTGAAAAGCAAATTGTAATATTTTTCTTCGCTGCTATTCCGCCACAAAATTAGTTCCTGCTAGATTTTGATTTTAAATAATGCATTATTATTTCTTCGCCAATTTAAGGAGTTTTAAGAGGGAAAGAAAAAATTATGATATATGATAACAATTCTGAGCATAATATTATATAAAGAAAATCAACGAAAAATTGGTCCAGCATTTTACTAAGTCAGAAACTCACAAAAAAATTTTGATAAATGCTGTACTTTACCTACCTCCTATATCGTCTACTTAATTTTTAAGGAAATAAAAGAAGCAATCATATCAGGAGCCATGGAAAATGGAATAGATATTTGGAATCCATTGATAAAGGGAATGGTCGCTGTACATGATGTTTGTGATAGAATGAAGATCAGACTGAGAAACATTAGTCTTCTCTTTCACCACGACAAAAATCTTGCACGGAAAGTCAATGGCGTCCGATTGCAAGATAAAAAATATACTTCGGGGCGAATGGTATGACATGCATTAAACTATTGATGTCTTTGAAACAAAAATGCTTTTATTCTTAACTTTATATTCTTCTTCAAAATACAAGGGTTGTAAGAAATGTTCGCGGACTAGTTCTGTTTTGAGGCCACTCTTCACAAAACTTCTGCAGAATTCAGCAGATAAAAAACTATTAATACTTATTTTCCAATAAACAGGGAAAGATTTGGTGTTTTTCGTTGATAATAAGAAAACATACAGCGAAATATGCCTCACGGAGTTTCTTACTTTTTGGTACCTTTACATAACAGGGACATTATTTTTAGAATTTTTTTTACTGTTTAAGCGTATAAAGATTTCGGATGTTTCACCCGTCGCTAATGTATTCATTAAACGTCATTTGGCTAAAATTTTAACTAAATTTGAGGTTTGAGGAGTGTCGACTGTATTATCGCTAATTATAGATGATCAATGCATAAAAACAACGCCAA